GGGGGGGGCAGCTTTCGCCATCCAAATACTTGGGTCTGAGTACCTCACCCTGCACCTTCCCTGACTGAATCGGTTTGCAGGCAGAAAGACCCCATGTTCTTACACCCCACTGCCACCTCCTTCATTATCCAGCTGACTTAAACTCCCTCTTGCTAAAGCCCTGGGCAGTTCGGCTCAGTTTCAGGCTGCACACACCCACCCTCTCCCAGTGACTCAGCCTTTCACCTGCCTGTATCACCCCAGAGCCCACAGAAAGCCGGGAGATGCTGAATGGAAAATGCCAGGGAGATCCTGGAGCTGGGTCTGGACTAACAAACCTGAGGTAGCGCTCTCAAGTGAGGGAGCCATGGTTTTCCAGTCCAGGGACAAGCCTTTGCCACTGCGCAGACATACTTGGAAGCAGGTGAAGCTTGAGCTGTTTGTGCGTGGAGCTGCTGAAGCTCAAAAAAACCCACCCCAGTGGGTTTTAAAAGCACACGGTGTCACTCCCTCCCTCCCTCCGTATTGCCCTCCCAGGGTCGGACCGAGGAACAGCCCACCTCTGGATACAAATAATCAGCTCCAAGCGTGTCCTTCAATCCATGGTTAAGTAAAACACTCTTTAGAGACAGGTCAAACCCACTGCCTGGCATAAACAGCATTATCCAGTGTCACAGAAACCAAGGAAAGTGGGCAGTTTTAGTGAGATGGCAGTGCCAGCTCAGAGAGAAAAGCAGGTGGGAACAACTGACACAGAGAATCACAGCATCAAGCCATCTCCTCCCTGATTTATCCCCAGAAAAGCCACCAAAAAGGACATCTGAGAAGCAAACTGCAGCGAATGCTCAGCAGGATGAACCTGTGCAGCACCGGGCAGAGGGAGGGAGGCAGATACACAGATTTCAACTTCTTCACAGCTGTAGGGAAGAGCTCCGGCTGCCTGAATCCCCTTTCTGTTCTCAGACACAGAGAGATCCAAGCAGGAAGGGCTGGGAGTGACCTCAAGGCTTGGTGCGACTCGCTGCAGTCACTTCTTCCCCATTGGGATTGCAGGGAAGGTGCAGGCAAGCAAATATTCTCCTACAGGGAAATACCCTGCCCCATCTCACCTCAAACCCATGACCAGCCGGCAGAGCGGAACTGGCCAAGAACCCACGGACTTACCCCAAGCTCACCTCTGAACGCCCAGCTGAGTACGGCTCATCCGCAGTCAAAGTCCTTTCAACTCACCCTCTCTGTCTGCACTTAAAAAGTTTCTTAAAAGGATGATAAAGTGTCAAAACAGGCGCTGGATGCACCCAGCCGGCGCTAGACTCGCCCCCACCCTGCGGTTTAAACCCCGCCCCCCCAGTCTGGGAGAAGCACCCAGTGACCCAGGCAGCTTTCTCCGGCCCCAAATATTTCCCTCTTGGCTGGCTCCATGTTAAGAGACCCCCCCAAAGAGGGAGGGGAAAGATTAAAGCCCTAAAACAGCCAGACAGGCCCTACAGTCGATGGGGAGAAGAACCAAATTTAGGTCCATTGAGTATCACCCTCCCCACCAGCGACGCAGGGAGCCAAGGGAGCGGGAGCAGGTCCCTGCGGGCTCTGACGCCACAAACTCCCTCTACCTTTCTCCCGTCTCCACAACCCGTTTATTACGGCAGCCAAGCGTGATGTGAACGCGCAGCCACAGGCAACGGGATTGAGCCCGTCAGCTTTAGTCGTGTCCCAGCCCTAGAAGTAACCCCCCAGGGTCCCCACATATCTGCCTGTGCTGGCTTTGAGCCTGGAGGCAGGCTCTGAGAACAACTAAGGCTTCAGTTTGAGCCAGGGATGAAGGATGGTGAGGATGGATAGGATGGAGGAGGTGAGGCCGCACAGCCCCACAAAGCCCGGGTTGGTTTTGTACAGCCCCAGCTTGTCTAGGGGGATAAAAAGATCGCAGGCATTTTTCACCACGTCCAGTAGCAGAGGAGGGTTGTTCCTAAGGACGCGGATCAGAAGCTGGAGCTGGATCTGCAGCCTCAGCCCCAGCTGCTGGAGCCCATTGTCAGCCCGGACCTGGCACCCGTTCTCGTTGCCTTTTGCTCGCTTCCCATTTGCCTCACGCTCCATCAGGATCTGGATCTCGTAGGCATCCCGGCTCAGGTTCACGATGAGGGCAAAGAGGTAATATCTAAAAAAAGAGGAAGAGGAATGGTGGGGCAGGGAGAGCAGAGAGAGCAGGAAAACAGTGCTGGGGATCGTGGTCTGTGAAGCTGGGAGCCTCTAACTATTTTCTTTCCAGCCATAAAAATAAGAAGTGCCTTAAAAAACCCACCCTGTGCAGAAAAGTCCACGTTCTACTGACAGCTGAGAGGCTGAGCCGGGCCAAGCACCCGCCAGCTCTCTTGCCATCGGTACGGTGCAAGGAGAGGAGAAGCCCCTTGCATGCAGCGCTTGGGAAGGGAGCTCAGACCCCTTCATCCACCCCTTCTCTGTGGGACAGCAGCAAAGAAGCAAGAAACCTGCTCTCTCCCTGGGGAAGCATACTGACTCCTTGCCGGCAGCTCTCACAGCTGTCCAAGCCCCTCACCTGAAGGACCTCTGGCCCCACTTCTCCTGGTCCACGCTAGGGACAAGCCCCGTCTTCCCCGCCCAGAGAACATTGTCGCAGGCGAAGTACATGGCCCTGTTCAGGTGGCTGAGGGTGACGCAGAACCGCAGCACCATGTCCGACAGGTGAATAGCTCGTTTTGCCGCCTCCAATGCTTCGGCTGAGCTACCCAGGCGCATCACTGCAGGACAGACGGATGGTCACCGAAGGAAAAGAAGGAGGGGAGATAAAGGAGGGTCCCCGCGCCCCCCCCCAGCACCGGGGCAGCCCCACTCACGCTTGCGGCCCAGGCTGAGGTGAGCCTCCAGCTGCCGAACGCTGGCCAAGACCCCGGCGCTCGCCCCGTTCCTCCGCAGCGTATCCCCCGCCAAGGCACAGGCGTATTGCGCGGCCCTGCAAGAGACAGCATGAGGGGGGGCCCACACCCCACACCCTCCCCGAGGGCCTCTATGACCGCCCTCCCCCGGGCCCCAGTGAGGGGAGGCCAGGCAGCCCTACACCGGAACCGGCACAGTAACAGCCCCCCCATACCTGAAAAGCCGCTCCTTAGCCTGGCTCTGGGCGCTGAAGCGGACCCAGGTCTCCATGACGGGGCCGGGCCGGGCCCGAGGCGTCGCTCCCCGGTGTGGGGCCTCGGCAGGACGCGACGCGACTTCCGGGAGCGCGACGGAAGCCGCCGCAGGTCAAAGAGGGCGCGGAGTGTGAGCCCTAGCGCCACCTGGTGGCTGGCGGCAACAGAGACGAGCCAGGCCACCTTCTTGTAAGCCCGCACAGCTTATCCCTATTGGCTTGATGCGCCAGACCCCACCCTTTTCCATCAAAACAGAAGCCGTGAATGGGCAATTGGAACGGTCTCCCTCTCTAAACCTGTATCGAAGGCTTTGATTGGTTAATTTTTCCATTTCCCGCCCCCTTCCCCGACCAATAAGAAGGCGGTTACAATTCCCTGCCTCCGCCTCCGCTGCTTTGCATTTTGATTCGTTCTTTCCTCTGTCATTATTATCATTCTTGCAGCACGACTGGACAGCTATCTTCTAAGCCCCGCCCCCTCGCCGTGTCCCTCACTTGTGATTGGGGTAAGTAGGGAGGGCGCGCCCCTGTCTCTCCGCGCCCTACAAGCCAGTTCTGATTGGCCGCTCCCCTTCTCTCCCCGCCCACCTTCCTGATCCTCTGTTCTGCGATTGGCCTGCTGCCGCCCTCCCACCACCCTCCTTCTGCCCCGCCCCAAAGTCTTTTCCATGCTACCATTGGCCAGCTCCCACTGTCGTCCCGCCCCCTCCCTGAGGTGATCTCCACGCCCATTGGGCCCTTGGGCGGTGAGTGACAGCGGCTGCACGGCGGGGGTCTCTCTTGGAGCGGGCTGGCGGCGATGATGGAGTCGGTGCGGGCTCAGCGGCTGCAGCCCGGCGTGGGGACTCTGCGCTCCCTCCGGCCCGGTGTCACCGGGGCTCCGGCCGCCGCCTCGGCTCCTCCGCCGCCTCCCGC